CACATATCAGTTCATGTCTCCTTTCCCTTCTGTCTTCTCCTTCCTTTTGTTTTTGCCCCCACCTTTCCTCTTCAGTTTTCCCCACTTGAAGTAGACAATGGAATGGTTTCCATACTTCACTGAAAGTTCTAATTGCCATTCCTGCCTTTCTTTGTCAAATACAAATCTGTGTTCAGGAGAGATAATCTATGGTCATTTTGATGCTGCCCTTACCAAATTCTTTGAGAAAACCATGGTACCAACAGGAAATTTCACTGGATTCTGAATTTAACACCATGAATTTGAGTTCTGGTTCTGTTATTCATTTGCTCCTGGCCTTAAGACACAGCTTTTCTCAGTTTTCCTTGATAATAGCAAAAGAGGATAAAATACCAATAGTTAGGGATACACAACAGAGTTACAAAGCAGCATTTAGAAGCAAGTTGAATTAAAATAGACACAATTTAATGAATTCTTTTCAGCAATGTTATTTTTCCCCAGCTAAAAACTGTGAGAAAAAAATTCTGCACCAATTATAGGATCATTGTTACTGGATTTTCCTGCCACTGTATCTTTCTGTAGCTTGTTCTGCATCTCTACACAGTTCTAGAACAGCCTCAGTTAAGGTGTTTTCATTCTTAATACCTAGAACAATAGCATTCATATGCAGTGCTAGTGAGAGTTGGTTGTGGCAGACAGCATCTAATATGTTCTCTTTAATCCCCCTCTTCTGGTATAGTCTTCTCAGACACTGAAGTCGGGATAGGCTAGATGCAGTAGTGATGGCATGTTAACTCCGAGGCTAGAGCATAAAGGTATTGCGGCGTTGACTTTGCTTCCAGTTCTTTTTACGGGAAACCAATCTATTGGAGAGAACTCTTTAACAGAACTGGAGAGTTCTGTTAAGACCTACCTGAATTTTCCAGTCACATGACTGCCAAAGGAAGCCTTCAAATGATTGCATCCTCAGCCAATATCTGAAGCGAGCTACATGAGCCATCCTGAGACAGAATTAAAGAGCTGAGCTACTCCCAAATGCCTTCTCTCACAAAAACCGCGAAAGGAGATGCATGGCCATTATTTGACACCTCTAGATTCTGCAGGAATTTGTGTTTTGGCACTAGTTGCAAACTGTCAGCGATCTCTACAAGGGAAAGCATTTCTCTTCTATAATTAAGTTACATTCTCAGGAAAGATTCTAGAATATACGATGTAAGGGCACCCAGAGAAGAATGTTCATTGAAATACTATTTGGAAAAAAAGGAAATACTAATGTTTACCACTAGTGAAATAAATAGCTAACATTTATTAAATAAGCATGTAGTAGGTTTTATTTTATACAATCCACATATATTAATTGTAAAACAACCTTATTAGATAAGAACTCATCACTCCACTGTACAAATGAGAAAGCTGATGCATATAAGGTTTAAGTCACTTCTTTCAGTATTTATAGCTAACAAGTAGGGGCATTATATTTTAAAAATTGTGAGATACCCACCCCCACCTTTTTTCTGGAGAGAGGATCTCCAGAAAAGATCAGGCTGGTCTTGAACTCACTTTGTAGCTCAGACTAGTCTTGAAATGGCAATCCATCTACCTTAGCCTCTGAAACAACAACATTGCAGGCACAAACCACCATTCTATGTTCTTTTTTTAAAGTTTTTTTGATTTATTTGTTTGGGGGCATGAACATGTCACAGCGTGCAAGCGTGGGTCAGAGGACATCTTAGGGTAGTATCTTCTTTTGCCATGTTGACTATGGGAATTGAACTCAGATTGGGAAGCAGGTACCTTTACCCACTGAGCTGTCTTGCTGGCCCTGAAATGTGATAAATTCACGTGCGCGTGTGTGTGTTTATGTGGTGTTTATATGTGTTTGTGAGTACATGTGTATGTGGATGCTAATGTCGATGTGTGTGGGTATGGAGGGTCTTCCTTGATTATTCTCCATCTTAATTGTTGAGACAATTTTTACTGAACCCAGAGCTCATCAGTTTTGCTAGGCTGGCTAGTCAGTGAGCTCTGAGGAGCTACCTAACTCAGTACCCTTTAGCTCTGGGGTTATAGACACTTGGGATTTTATGTGGGTACTGGGAAATCTAAAAATCTGTTCATTTTTAACCTTTTTATGTATATGCATGTTTTACCTGTATGTGCATGACTGGTGCCCTAGTGGGCTTGAAGAGGGCATCAGAGTCCCTTAGAACTGGAGTTACAGATCGCCGTGGTGATACGAGTGCTGGGAACCAAACCCAGGTTCTCTGCAAAAGTAGTATAATCTCTTAACCGCTGAACCATTGCTCTCCCCATGCTTGTGAAGCAGGTCTTTGACCAACTGAGTTATTGCCCCAGCCTCAGAATATGATATATTCTTAAAACAAACTGTTTTGTGGGGCCTGGGAATGCTTGAGAACTTTTTATCATACATAGAAAGAAACAAGACACCAGTAGGAGAGTACGGAGTCAAACCATTTGATTAAACAAAAATATACAAAACTGTTACACACATGCACTTTGGAAATAGACCCTAAATTCAAATTACAGTTGCTTCTTAAGAAGTTATACAGTGATGGTTGAAGGGGATCTTAGATATAGTAAATAGTAATAATTAATACTGAGTGATGGGCATACGCCATACAGATAAATGCTATAGAAGATATGCTATTCTTTGTACTTTGCCATGCCCTCAAAAATAATTTTTTTAAGCCAGGCGATGGTGGCGCATGCCATTAGTTTCAGCACTCGGGAGGCAGATGCAGGCAGATCTCTGTGAGTTCGAGGTCAGCCTGGTCTACAAAAGCTAGTGCCAGGATAGGATCCAAAGCTACACAGAGAAACCCTGTCTTGAAAAACCACACACACACACACACACACACACACACACACACACACACAAATTTAAAAGCTGCTTAAATCAAATTTTACTGTTACTATGTTTGAGTAACATTTCTTCCATCCAACCATCTATTAATCATGCTTGTCAACAACTAATTAAATCAAATTAACATATCGGTTGATTCAAAATGAAATATTCTTTTTCTCTAATGTCTATCAACATTTTCCTTTCTTTTTTAAAAAAATGAAATATTTTTCATGTGACTTCCATTTTTAAAAAAATTATTTATCTTTATTTGCATTTGTGTTTTGCCTGCATGTATATCTGAGTTAGTGTTAGCTCTTGGGAGTTACAGACAGGTGTGAGCTGCCATGTGGGTGCTAGGAATTGCACCCAGTTTCTCTGGAAGAGCAGTCAGTATACTGTTGACCACTGAGCCATCACTCCAGCCCCACAACTTCCATTTTAAGCATTATGGCAGGTGAGAATCATCCCTTACTTAAAAATGGTTTCTGTCCTTACAAATCTAATAGTGGGATCAAGACAGACGTTAAAAGAACACACACACACTCTGAAAAGAACGGGTGTTATGTGTGAAAGCGTGTAAATGACCGTGGTCCGAGATTCAAGGAGAGGCATTTAAGTAGTGATGGATACTTCATAGTGATCCAAGTATACTTGCAGAAATAATGACAACTACCTATTTATGAAAGAAGCAATTGACCTCCTTTTTAATTCTTACAAGTTATATGCAGACATTGTTACCAGCTCCCTTTTACAAATCAATCGCATCGTGATTAGTACCACACAACTAGCAAGAGCCATTCACATCTAAGTGACAGCCTAAACTCCTCTGCCCCAGGCCTTCTTCTCTTCTTCTTTGTTTCTTTCTTCTTCTTTTTCCAGCTGAACTCAGCTATAGGAAGTCTTCTAACACAGTTCTTGGAACTTTTTAAAAGATGGAGTGATTAGTTTGTCAGCAAATTCTACGATTTGAGTAAAAGACAGCCACATCTCTGTGCTGCTTCTGGAAAAGCTACGGTCGTAGTTGTCATTCTTGAGCACCCTCTAATGCACCTGGGTGAGAAGACACAACAATGAAAAAAATGGACACGACCTTCACTGCCACGGAGTTTATTCCTAGTTGGGCAGTTAGACATTAAATAACAAAGCAACAACAACAACAACAACAAAACCGCATTAATTTTTAGATAAGTAATTCAGGGGAATAGAGGGCAGACAAGAAAAACATAAAAATCCCAGTTTAAATCAGAGGCAAGAATCAGAGAATTTTATCAAAAACTACACAGAAAGTGTTGTTCTTTCTTTCCATTGGATGCAAAGTGCTAAACCCCTCAAAGAACCCCAGGAGGGTGCTGCTGCTTCAGCGGTGAGGTCCTGGCGCCCCATTGTTCGGACCGGCTGATGGACTTGGCCAGTTTCTGAGCTGGCGGGGGGCGACGACGCTATCCTATACTGTGGCATGAGAAGAGTTTTCATCCCTCGAACTTTCTGATTCCACCCTCCGCTCCCACCCCGGGGTCTTCTTTCCGAGCATCTTTCTGCTCGGCTGGTGCTCCTTCAGCTGCGACAGTTGCCTGTCAATTCTGCCTTGCTGCAGGAGCCTGATCTGGAGTTCTTTCCTCTCCTCATGCCCCCCAAGCCTATCTCTTCATGGCGACGGCTGGCGGCCGGGTCTTTTCACCGGTCCCCCAGTTTCCCTCTGGCTGGCCGGGCGGCAGGTGGGCCGGAGGCACCTGGTCCCGGGCGCTCTTCGTCCC